AAAAAAAAACCAAACAAACACGACACAGAACTGGTAAGGCAAGTTGCTGCAAACTCTTCCATGGATCAGCTGATCCTTGCTCCATGATTTCAGTCATTAAGTGTTTAATTTTTTTTACACATCCTTTTGTGCAAACAGATTAGTCCATCCTGACAAAGCTACAGCTGTTATGATTTTTGGGAGAGACTTTAGGCCGGATTTTTAATATGCTGCATCAGCATAACCACCTCTGCAAATGACACAAAGTTAAGAGAAGAAAAATTTAAGAAACTGTTTTGTGAGCCAATCCCAGGCATGTGTCCCCTACCCTACAGCATTTAATGCATCTCACAATGCCTCAGGAAAAGTAGTGTACAGCTGATGTGCACTGCCCTCCACAGAACCCCATCATACGCTGAGCAAACTATTTTTTAAGCTGTGATTAATAAATGTAATTGTGTGCCAGCAAAGACATAACAGAGACAAAGGCGCGAGTAGTCTCTGACAGCATTTCATTTTACTGATCTAAATCTTTCACAAATCTAGCAATCTTTGGCAATTTTTTTTATATAAAACTCTGGTTTTTTCCCCATGTTAGAAATCTAGCTCACCGCTTTCTTTGCCCACCTCTACATGCCCAAAGTTGCTTGCCATTTAATTTAGCTCATGCTAAACTAGAGCTGGGCGATATATCGAGTTTTTAAAACATATCGATATATTTTTATACGAGATATAAGATGTGACAATATCCTTTATATCGATATAGTCTATGTTACGTTATAATTATAGTTGTGGAGCCGCAAGTTTGCCTCTCTTTCGTCCACTTTTGTCTCTACGCAACGTTACTCCGCCTCTCCTTCACTGAAGACAACTCCCCCTCCTCCTCCATCGCTTCACGTGCAGGCAGCGACAAGACGGACACGGCAAATCTCCGTTAACGAGTTACTGCGCATCGCCCCATGCGTGGGGCTGGACGGCATCAACGTGTTAACGAGCTAAACATGCTAACGAGCTAACCGCGCTAACCCTAAAATCCTTTCATTCTCTCAAACGTTGATAGCGCGCCTTATGTATGAATTCTGGTTGTGCTTGATGGCCGCGAACCGATTTTATGTGGTACACGGCGCTCAGCAATCTGTCAAAAATGTTTGAGTACGACTTTGGTAAGCTACGGAGCTGCACCGCTTGATCGATTGTCGGCGCATTACGGCTACCGAGGAGCTTCGCGGAGTGATACGTACTGTGCATCAACGTAATATTACCGTATTGTGTGTGTATAAGGACCATAAATGGCACCTGTAAGAGACGTGGTTATGAAGCGGATTTCAAACTCCAGGCTGTCAGTCACACAGTAAAACTTGGGAACAGAGCAGCTGTGAAATCTGTCTGTCTTTGTTATTACGCTCAGTGTCTTTTAGTTTACATTTTGACTGCACAATTGTGAGCTCTTTGTTTAGCACAAAAACAACCTTGTTTTCTTTTATTTATGGAGCATTATTATTTAATGAATGCTCATAATTTAATTTTGAGTAATTTTTCATGTACATCTGTGCTGTATGTTAATAAAAGTGCCTGTGTGACATCTGGGACACAGCTTTGACTAAGAACTCTCTTTTTGTTCTTACTTTATGGCTTAAAAAAATATCGAGATATATATCTTATATCGCCATCCAGCTAAAAAATATCGAGATATGAATTTTGGGTCATATCGCCCAGCCCTATGCTAAACTATATATTTAAAAGGTAAGGAAAGCATTTTAAAATGAACTTGTTCACATTTAAAATCATGGTAAATATTGACCAACTATCACCCTGAATTTACTTTTAATCATAGCTGTGAAGCTCAATACATAGAACTCCCGGGATAGGCAGCAGTGAATGATTTCAGACAACCTCGCTTTTTCTTGGCATCGCACCTGTTTTAGGTGCTGTCCTGTTGGCGCTTCTCCTCGACCTCCTCCACGTCACAATCTCCGCTAGTTGAGTGGTACTCGGCCACATAGAGGCTCTTGTCGATGCTGCTGGGAATGGGCTTAATGTCGGTCACCAGCTGGTCTTCAATGGCCTTCAGGTTGAAGCGATCCTCCGATGTGATCAGGTTGATGGCCAAGCCCAGGTGTCCAAACCGCCCTGAGAAACATGAGAATGTGGTTAATATACAATGTCCAGTTTAAACTAAAAACAATGTCATTAATATTGTGGGGGAAAAATAATCAAATAAAATAGTACAGTAGAGAAACTGTTCCCAAGGGACATCAGAACATCAAAACCATGACATCAGTCACAGTCTGAAGCGCTGTGAGCGTGTCAAACATGAAAAAACAAAAAAACAACCCCATGAATTTGGCAACTTGTGCCACGTGGCGAGACGTCACAGATGCAGATTGCGAAGTCCAAGCCTGTAATAAAGCTTTAGTTTTGTGCTTTCTAACTAGTTTGCTTTTTCCTGTTTCACTTCATGTGGAAATTTTGGTTTGTTTACTTTCATTTCAGTTACTTTGCAGATTGAATTCACTCGTTTCAGTTTAGTTTTTAAAATAGTATCATAACACAGACCATATTTTTCAGAGGCGGCTTTCACAAGTTCAGAACGGACGTAAAATTACAAAAGTACTTCTTGAAGGCAGTTGAGTCACAGATTAAAGCGCTAAAGCCTGACATTTACTCTGTTAAAAACAGGGCAATTGTTAGAGCAAATAGCAGTTTATGCTCAGCACTGTCATCCTTACAGGCAGTAACACCAGTTTTTGTAAAGCTATGACACTTTTTTCAACTGTAACTGTGGCTTTAGGGTTAGCGACAGGATATTTAGACCTCTGATGGTTAAAATGAGAGTTTTAACTGTGACATAAGAAAAGAAACACTTTTCTCTCATTGTGCATCAGGGGTTGCTGTGCGCCATGGTTTCTAGCTAAATACAAGCCAGTTATAAACTTTCAAGCATCCTGGAAAACAATTTCATTTACAAAAAAAAAAAAAAAAAAAAAAAAAAAAAGCAGGTAAGCTTTAATGATTTACATTTACAAACAAAAACAAAACATACCTGATCTTCCAATACGATGCAGGTAAGTCTCTGCGTTCTTCGGGAAGTCGAAGTTGATAACCACGTTTACTGCCTGGATGTCAATTCCTCTGGTGAACAGATCTATTGGAAGGCAACAGAAGATTACAGCAGTGCTACAACATATCCTGGATTAACTCTGAGGCTTTTGTGATGCACAAGTAGATATTCCAGTTAAAACTCACCAGTGCACACCAGATTTCTGCACAGTCCATTTCTGAAGTCGTGGAACACACGGTTTCTGTATTCCTGGAGAAAACAAATGATCGCAAATCATTACTTATCCAACATCGGGATTTGCTTTTCTTCAGCCTGAAGAAAATGTATTCCTCATTGAAATATTCAGGTATTTTAATACCGTGATCAAAGTAATTTTAAGGTTTTAAAAGAATCTAACATTAATATTTATATAGATGGAGGATTACGAGCAGGCATATTCTTTTATTTTGCGCCCGTCATTCATTTGAGAGCCCACTAATGTTCTGTTAGCATAAAAACATTGTTCTCACCTGCATCATTTTAGCGTGGATGTAGAAGCAGGAGTAGCCCAGCTGAGTGATCTTCTTGGCCAAGAGCTCCACTCTCTGAGTGGAGTTACAGAAGATGATTGACTGGTTGATTTGAAGCTATGATGGAGAGGAGAAAAAAAATAAGTTATTCCTAGCTCAGAATGAGCCTTTCAGGGCATTTTCATCTGTGGAAAGTAAAAGCAATAAGCCTGTGTTTCCTTATCTGATAAAACCTTTTAAAGAAAGGAATTAAAATAAAAAAATAAAGGTAAAGGGAGTAAAATTTAATCAGGAAACACTGGATTAACACGGGCTAACATCACTTTGAAAGAAGTGTACTTGTGGTCACAAAGTAACTGCAGTTAACAGAGAGTCGGTTACCCTGGAGAAGAGTGTGTTGAGGCAGTGAACTTTCTGCCTCTCTGTGACGTAGGCATAGTACTGAGTAATGCCCTTCAGAGTAAGCTCCTCCATCAGGTTTATCTCATAGGGCTTCTGAAGGTGCTTGGCCTACAGCAAAGACACAGAGAGATAACAGTTCACACAGTGCTTTTAAAAATGTGTTTTCAGAACTGTAAAAGCTTCTAGGACATTTCTGTCATGATCATTTTCTGCTCTTCTTTATGGAGAAATTTCTTTTTGGATGCACCGTCACTGAAACCACCACACAAGTAGTACCTGCTTAAATACTCAGAATTTCAAAAAAGACTTGTACAAACAGTAAAAGCAATCGTATCCTGTGAGTGTAAACTAAATTTGCTTTAGCTGAATCAACCCTGGAAATGTCCACAACAAAGAAAGAAACAGATTTGGGCGCGACAGGAGCGGAGCTCGGTCTGCAGTGTGAGCTAAGTGGAGCCAAGTGGCTCTGAGCCAGCAGGCTGGACAAGCAGCGCAGTAATTAGCCGTCTACTCACCATGAACTTCTGCACACTGATGGGGAAGGTTGCAGAGTAGAGCAGGATCTGTCTGTTCTTGGCCAGGAAACTAATAATATCTTCAATAAGCACCACAAAATCCTGAGACAGCAGCTTATCCGCCTGAAGAGAAACGGAATAATAATTACCACAAAGCAAGCCTCTTTTCTTACCCGATACAACACAATACATAAAATAACAGCTAGTTTCTGAAATGACTTTACTCATATTTACCTCATCCATCACCATCATCTGGACTTTATCCACCTTTGCCACGCCCTTCTTTATCAAGTCCAGGATCCTGCCAGGCGTGGCAATGACCACATGCACTATTGTGAAAACAGAACTATGATTACCATCAAAACTTCCTTTTTACGGGGCATTTTGTGACAATATTTAACAACAGATAACACACTGAATTCAGAGTGACAGCCTGCATAACCTCTCATGGATAAAAGTACCACAAAGCTGGTTGATATGAATCTTTACCAGTCTCATCCAGACGCATGATGTCATCTCTCAGGTTGGTGCCCCCGGTGGTGGCCATGACTTTGACTCCTCCCAGGTGTTTGCTGAGCTGGATGCAGATCTGGCTCATCTGCAGTGCCAGCTCACGAGTGGGCACCATGACAATGGCTGTAAAATAAAAATAAAAAAGTAGTAGCGATTACAAACATGATAGATGGTATGTGATTCCACAAGCTGTTTTCACACATGAAATGAATCTTTACAGAAGTTTTACAGTTGTCCTTTCTGCTAGGCAGCACAAAGATGGCCACTTGCTATATTAGCTGTGCCTTCAAACATCACAGAGACTTTGCACTTGAGAACTTAAAGGTTAATGTCAGGCTGAGGTCCATCCCTGTTGGCTCAGTCCTAGAAAAGATCTGGGCTGCAATGCATGTGTGAAATCTGCTTTGAAGGAAAAACATAGAACCAACAGAACAAACAAGGCTGGCGAGACAATGACGACGCATTAGCTTCTCTTTCTATAGCATGTGCTTTGTTTCCTAGACAAACTGAAGGAAATGCCATGTCAGGTAAAATGGAAGCATAGGAAAACAACACAAGTTAAAAAACACCTTAAAGAAAAAGGTAGTTAGAACTGTAGTCAGTAAAGCTTATATTTGGAGTCCAACTATAAAACCAAAGGCAGTGCCTCACCCTGTATGTGGTCCTTTTTCAGGTCTATCCTTTCCAGCAGTGGGATGAGATAGGCTCCACTTTTCCCTGTTCCATTCTTGGCTCGGGCCAGAATGTCCCGTCCAGACAGGGCGATGGGAATGCTCTCCTCCTGCAAGGAACCAACAGGCAAACCGTCTGTCTCATTACACAAACATACTTTCCTTTTTTATTTCATGGACACAAATGAAATGTGTGTCTTTGTCTTACATGTTTAAACCATGGCATTTGTGCTTTTAAGGTAGACCATAAAAACAAAAAAACTACCCGAATTGTGTCAGCATGTGTAAGCATCTCTCAAATCAAACAAACAAAATAAAATGTATAAAACTGTATGACCGTACAAGTAACCCAGGTTTTTTTCCCCATCATCCACAGTGATAGTTAAAATTAGGTAATGGAGATAAAGCCACTCTTCAGTTAGATTCTTGTAATAATTCACTTGTCTTGTCACCAGACTGTTACATTTTTATGTCAGTTCACATTTATATTTTCTTTTCAGTTAAATTATATTTAAAGTTTAAGGAAATTATTTGTTTAAAAAGACAAGATTTGTAAAGTTTAACAAATCTGATTTATTTTATAATGAGAAATAATCCTGATCTAAAAAGTGAACCACATCAACCGTGCTGCAGATGATGTTTACTGTTAATTTTTGATGAGTTTTAAAGAGAGTACAAAAGAAACAGGATGAAAACACCTATTCTTTTTTAAAAAAGTCAAATGCTGATGCACAAATCAACTGATATTGGCGTATATACTGTCAAAAATGATTCCTCCCCCCCCCCCCCCCCAAAAAAAAAAAAAAAACCACAACAGAATACAGACAAATGTGTTTGTCTAATACAGAAATGCCCAGCAGAATGGTTACATGTGTTGGGTTTTCTGTCAACATAAAATTGTAAGTTAATCAATGGGGTCTATTTGGAAAGAAGATAAATGATAATAAATATTGAGCATACCTGAATAGGGGAAGGTTTCTCCCAACCCATCTCAAAGATGCCCATCAGGAGTTCTCTTTTGAGACAATAATCTTCAAACTCATTCCCCTTTGTGGACGTCACATCCTGCAGTGGTCACAGAAATGGTTAGGACATCAGGAGAAAACTAGTCTGAAGCGAAAGCATGATAAGAAACTGAAATCAAATTTTAACTCACTGAGGTTTTGACCCTGTTGTCTTTGGGAGGGAGCTGTAGGCTCTTTTTCCAGTCATCTCCAAACTTGATACCACCTCCGTCCTGAGAGGCTCCTCCTGCTTTCTGGGGAGCACCCAAAGTCTTTCCTTGAGTTGTTGGTGCTGGCTGGACTGCAGCTGGTTTGGTCTGCCCTCTGAGCTGCCCGTTCTGCTTATTCAGTCCCATGACGACCGGGCCCACACTTTCTGTTCTGGCGGTTGCCATTTTCCCTGTTTTTGTCTTCTTTTTTTCTGTCCTTTGAAGTATTAGATTTTTGCGTCTTAGGTTTAATTTTTAAAAATTCTCTTCAGATGTAAAAAAGTTTAATAAAGCATTAACAAACGATATTCTATCTCTCTTTTTTTGTTTGAAGTCCAAAGCTGACGACAGAAGTGGATTCGTAGTATTTACATATACACACGTACGTGCAGTTCGGTCCCCTTCAACAACAGAGTGACTGACGTACACAAAACAACAACCAAAAAAAAAAAAAAAAACTTTTTACAGAAGAGCTCTTCAAAATGAAGAGAAATTTGCATTCATATGCATGAATATACTTGTCCACAATATAGAAAAATTATATGTGAACAAGTATTGAAGCAGTTCAAGTCCTGAAACAGAACAACTAAGGCAATCTGAACTTGGGGATCTTCAATATAATCTTACTTCAATACTTAAACTTCTCTTTGTGAATTGAACAGTATTTCTTATTTCCACTTTTGAGTCCATTAGAGTTGCTCAATATCCCTGTTCTTGACAAAAAAAAAAAAAAAAAGGAAAGAAAATGCCCAACTTTGTACAAGTATCTCCCCAAAAGTATAGTCCGTAATGCTTTCTGTTTATTTCCACTGTGTGGGTATAAGTCACTCCAAAAAAATGGATCCTGAAATCAAAAATCACACAAGGGGTAACTGAGTCCAAAGCCCAAAAAGCTTTCCACCCTTGCTGAGTCTTCAGTGTGTGTGGGGGGTGTGAGTTTCCTTTCTCCTCCAGGTGTTTGACCCTCTCTCCTTCGACACTACAGGTCTTCAGCTCAGTCTGAAGTGTGAGAGTTGTGGCCTGATCGCCTGCTGCCTCCTCAGAGTCAAAGCCAACAACTCAGACTCCTCACCTAAAAGAAATAAAAGCACGAGATTTTACATTTTTAAATGACCGTGAACAGCTGACTCTAAGTCCCAGTTATAAGTAGTTTACCTATTTACTCTCTTGATCATCAGTTGCACTGAAGATGACATCATAACCCAAAATAGGTAAATAATGATTACAAAATGAGAAAAAGAAGCAAGATCTCATAAATAAACAATTCGGCATTTTTGGGATGTTTGTATTTAAAGCCATCAGGCTGCTATGTTTAACTCCTTATCAGATTACTTGTAATTTGATTTCTTTGCATAAAAACAGGTAGGACTCACAGTGGCCTCCATAGCTTTAAAGTTGCCCTGTTCCAAAGTGGACCCAAACACTAACAAATATTTTTTGTTCCGTTTTGTTGGTAAATAAATTTACTTTCAGCGCTCGTTATCTGTGAAAGCAGAGATGACAGCGTAGGTGGGGATGTTCCAGATCCTGTTTTAACTTTTCATAATGCCACCAATAAACCACTACTGTTTCAACTGAAAACTACCTCTAACTAAACAAAAGGGAAATTAAAAGGATTCGCACCATCAAATTTTACAGGAGATTAAAACTCCTGAGTGTCAAAGACATGCCTGATCATCTACATCAGAATTCCCTACAAAATTTGAGATCTGCAGCTTCTCATTTCAACTTATTGAATTGCAGATATCGCCAACATCCTGCAGTCAAAAACAATACACAAATCAATCACAAAATACACTAATGTGACATGTAGTCACGTAGCTGGGTTTCAGAGGGGTCTGTGGTTATGATGTACCTATGACATATATCTAACCCTTAAGTCTAATCTGTTCTGTTAAGGGTGTCTCTGAAGAAATGTTACACACACAGTCAGTTGGCTTTGAAGTAATGGAGCAGCAGCTACAACAGGCCACACAGAAACCTAGTCTGCCAGTCATTCTCACATATTTGACAACGGTTAAACTCCAAAAGCCCACAGATGCAAAAATGCACAGGGAAAAAAATCATCAAAGCCGACTTTTCTTAGGAATCTACTGTTACTAATATTTATTAATTCTTTATTTAAAGTGGCAGCATTCTTACGTGATTTCATATTAAATATTGATGCTAAATGCAACATAGTGAAATAATAGTGCTATATTTTTAAGAAGTGAACAGTTAGTAGTACTTCGTTTATAAGCATACAGATTAATTACAGAATACCTACAGAGTAACTAACTAATGAATATTCAGTATATAGAAACACTGAATATTTCCGTATTAAAACACCATACTCAACAGGCTGTGTCACTTTTATTAAAAAGCTCAAACTGCGTTGTCGGCTTCTTGCAGACCCTTCCCCCTTTAGTTAAAGTTGTTGAGAATCTGCTCTTTTGTTAGTAAAGTTTGCCGACTTCTGCCCCGAACAGTGATAAATAAAAGCGGCAGTTATTTGCAGAAAGCGACACGCTGCTTCAGCACTCCGAGGTTAGAGAGGTGAACCTGCCAGGTGGCAGCCCTCAGATTAACGAAGCCCAAACTGTCAGGATTTTCTTCTTTTTTTAAATTAAGTCTATCCTTTACTGAGGCTCAAATCCGCTTGAAACAAATCAAACAATCACAGTTTGAATCGATTGCCAAAAGCTGCTCACAGCGTCATAACTTTACCAAGTTTTTTTTTCCTCCACCGTTCAGACTGCACATTAGCTTAAACTTAATTTTCACGCAGTTTTCCAAACGCACTCTGAAATTAATTAACTTTAACACACCAAAACAATTACTATGGATTTGATAAACTTTACATACCTTCATTTATTGATTAATATCTTACATTAACGCTGCCTCTAAGGAGAAACACTAAATACGTTATGCTAACGGAGCTAAAGTTAACGAGCGACTGAGCCGTTAAAACGTTCGTTCGTCTTTTAGTTTTTATGATCTTTTAATTTATCATAACGATAACAATGCGATAAAAATGTACTTTGACTGGGTTAATTCTTTTGCAATGTTTCCACTAAAGCTTCATGGAATACGGCTATCCTCCGGACTAATTTAGCGCAAATAACTCCACTCGCTAACGTTAGCTACATGCTAATCTGCTCATAGCAACTCAGATGTTTTTTTACAGAAAGTAAACGCCTCAAAGCTCCGCAAACCTACCTTTATTGTTTTATTTTTCTGCAAGGAACACTCACTGCGCGGTCGATCAACTATTTCCTTTACAATAAGCTTCAATCACTGATTTTTTTTCTGGATATAAATCTCCTCTATTGTGTTTCTTCTTCCTTTAAATCAACATGGTCGCCTCTTCTTCGTCTCCTCTTCCTCGTCGTCTCCCTGCTGTTTATCACACGTGAGACTCCAAGACGTTGCTGCCACCTGCTGGCGCACCTAGTTACTGCTACATAAGATTTCTATTTTTAACTATAATTATATTATTCATATGTTTATTTTTATATTTTATGGAATGATTAAATAAAAGTTGAATATAAAAAAAGCTCCGTAAAGCGATCAATATAGCATTTTCATTGTGTACTTTATCTAATCAGCCACAGTTTTCTTCTCAGTCATAAACGCACCTTTTTGTGACTTTTATACAAAGTCACAAAAAGTGCCTAATTACCTGAAACACAGCTCACAGTTGTTTTAGATCTTTGCCCACACATTCTTTGCTCAAGGTTACAATCACCTACCGATCGTAATGGGTTCAAATGAGTTCAAATATGCACTCTTACTGCTCTGACTCCTTAACATTGTAAACCTGTTTCCCATAATGTTGGTACAGGGATGAATGGTAAATAAAAGCTTCCTAGCTCAGGCAACATTTTGGGCAGCTAACACTGAGGGAGCAACAGCTACATTCTTGCTAAAAAAAATCTAACCTACATCCCAGAGAGTGTCTATAATAGAGGGTTAATTTGAGGATGGGTACCTAGAGGGATGAAGTATCTCGGGATTAGGCTAAGCCAAGATATGGAGGACCTACCCCAACTCAATTTTGACCCAGTCCTACTAAAAATAAAAACGTCTAAGGAGCTTGGAAAGAAAAGCGTCTGGACTTCTTTGAGGTGTTTGAAGATGTTTCACCTCTCATCCAAGAAGCTTCTTCAGTTGTAAGGGTCAATGGTGGGGAGTCCCAGATTTAAACCCAGTGGGAGTTTCCCCCCAAAGAGGGACAAAGGACCCCCTGATGATCCTCTACCTAATCACATGAGCCAAGGTGTGAAAGCGGGTGTGGTTCCCAATCAGCCAGGGTTTCGGGTGAGCTCATTGTGAAACCTGGCCCCACCCTATCATGTGATTGCCTGAGGTCAGATGGCCCAGGATGTGAGTGGGCGTTAAGGCATCTGGGAGCAAAAAAGTGGAGCAAATTAAAAATCTCATTGTGGGGCAAAATAAATATTGTAAAAATGATTATAGCTCCCCAATTCAACTACGTAGTAATCATGTTACCAAATGTGATACTGCCTGTTTTCTTCAAACAGAATGAAAACTTAATTAAGCAGTTTCTGTGGGATGGGAAAAGGGCAAGAATCAAGCTAAGTAAATTATATGGCCCTAGAGAGAAGGGCGGCTTAAGTTTACCCGATCCAAGACTATATTCAATCTCATTCGAGGTGGCAAAATTGGTTAATTACTGGGGAAAAAAATCAAGCTGGACAGGAATGGCTGAGTATAGAGTCTGAGATTTATACCCATCATGACCCAAAATGTATGCTGTCTCAAAGCCGCACTTCAACGAACGCAATTTTGCTTCACTCTAGCCAGGTATGGCTGAATATAGAATTCTTAAAATATCACCTCATGTGCAGTTTTACTCATCGCTTTGGAACAATCCAGCTGTTCGTATAGGGGGGAGAAAATGGTGTTTTGGAAATTGTGGCAGTCTCATGGCATAAATGTTATTAGTGACTTATTTAATGATGGGGAATTTATGTCCTATATAGATCTTGTCCAAACATACAAATTGGAAGGGAAGGAACATCTTTGGAGATATTTGCAAATTAGATATTGTGTGATGTCCAAGTTCAGAAGGGGACATGGAAATCTTGTTCTAAATTTTATAAATATTCCTCGGGAGCGCCACACAGCATAATGCTTTTATAAGTTGGTAAATGATAATAGAAGTGGGTGTTTGAATATTAAAACTTTGTTGCAGAAAGATTTAAATGCACCAATTCCAAACATAAAATGGATGGGAATTTTGGTAGAAAATGGGATTTATGTTAAGGAGGCGAGGAGCAAATGCATACAATATAAAATTGTGCATAGATATTATCATACTCCAACAAGGTTACACAGCATGAAGCTTATGCCTGACTATCTCTGTTGGAAATGTAAAAGTGAGGTGTGGACTTTCCTACATTGTTTTTGGGAATGTTCCCTTAAAGCTCCTTTTTGGAAGGAAGTCGTCACACTTTTAAAAGGTTGTTCAGGATCAGAAGTGCCCTTAACTCCTGAATTGTGTTTGTTAGGAGACCGTTCTCATATTCCAAGAATTCATAATAATGTTTTTACAGTTGTTATGGTTGGACTGGTAACTGCATTGAGGGTTATCCTCAGGCACTGGAAGACTACAGGACTTCCTGAGCTGAAAGACTGGATCAGAGCAATGGCAGAGACTGCTTCCTATGAGTCCATGCTGAATAAACTTAAAAATGATACAAAAGACAAAGATAAAATTTGGGACTACTTTTGGAGCTATCTGAAGCACACAGGAAATCACGACCATACTACCATAATCTGAAGGATTATTAACTGTGACTACCAGCTAATATGTTACTTTACTGTCATTTTTAGTTGCCCGTTTCTGTGTTTCTTCTTTCAGAACCTACTGTAAGTTAGCTTCTCTTTCCTCTCTTAGACTTTTAAGGAGGGATGCACACCAGCATCCCCCC